TAATTCAAGGAATAGAGACATTTGTTCTAATAGTGGTTGTAAACAGGATATTATTTCTGGATCTTCTACAACAAATAACCACTAGAATGGGAGTATGCAATGTGATAATTATTGGAACTGTCCTACCAGTTTTATTTGAAACTGTTTCATTGCTATTTATTTCTCAATGAAATTCTGGAAAAAAACTAAAAAAAATTTTTCAAAAGAAAGGAAACAAAAAAAAATGGAGATTAGAAAAATGACAGATTCCTTGAATGAGCAAAACAGGAATGAAATAGATCACATGAAGCAGAGTCCTAGAGATATAGAGGAACTTAAATCTCAATCACAAACTTGCAAGACTGTTTGTGTGAAAGTGAAGACAGAGTTTCACTGAAGATGCTGGTGCAGCTAGTGAAAAGGTAAGAAAAGATCTTTTAAAAACAACTAGGAAGCGGAAAAAAATTCATCATCAGTATGATGATGCAAAAAGGAACAATGTGAGAGTAATAGTCATCAAGGAGAAAGATAGAGTCTATAAAAATGATATATGAAGAATAATGGCAGACATAATAGCAGCAAACTTACCAACATGACAAAACAGTCTGACATCCAGGTAACCAGAGCATACACAACTCAAAATAACTTCAATCCAAATAAAAACATGAGACAAATAATAGTCAATATCCCAGAAATCCAGAACAAGAACAATATAGTGAAAACCATGAGAGAAAAGAAAAAAGCATCACATTTAAAGGAAAAACCTATCAGAATATGGCAGACTTCTCTTCACAAACCATGAGGTTAAGAAGAGCATGGAGCAGAGTACTTCAAGTCCACTATGAAAAAAACATTCCTTTTTCAACCATTCCTCAGGTGATGGGCATCTTGGTTCCTTCCGAGATTTGGCTACCACAAATTGTGCTGCTAAAAACTGAGACACACATATATCACTGTGATATGATGTTTTCAATATTCCGGGAAAATTCCCAGTAGAGGAATAGCTGGTTTAACTGGGATTTCCAGTCCAACTTCTAAGGAGT